CTTGCTAAACCAATCGTCGTCTTGTTTAGTAGGTCCTGGATTTGGCAAAGATTAGAATGGAAGTGTAAGGCTAGGGGCAAATCATGTGTGAACCAACTGACTGAAACTAGATTAAAGGGAAAACTAGGAACTAGGAGCACACTGTAAAAATGCACAAATGTATCCTGAACTCGCTTATAAGCAATTAGAGAACAAGCTATATGATATGAGGCACCTATGTCTAAGATCCATAAATTGACTAAGTGGTTACTGTCAATGTTTGATAAGGAAGAAAGAACTTATTTACCTGCAAAATTAGGAAAGGGTGGTAAATATTGTGACATAGAGAAGGTCAATCAACTTCAGATTACTCACTTTTTACGAAATGGGTGCATGGCAGGATTGTAGTGTTATTGGTGTATGTACATGACATCATCATAGGTGGTGATGCACCAAAAGACATAAAGCAGATCAAGATGGCATTGAGTAAAGAGTTTAAAATCAAGTTGATGTGACCTCTACAATACTTTATGGGTATGGAAGTAAACAGGACTGTAGATGGAATTAGTGTTTGTCAGAGAAAGTATGCCTTCAAGCTACTAAAAGACATTGGATACTTGGATGCAAAGGGGTGAAGCTGGCAGCAAACCAAGGAACCCCTCTAGAAGATGCAGAAGTGTATAGAAGGTTGATTGGCAGGTTGCACTATGTGACAATCACCAGGCCTGACTTGACTTATATTGTTCAACAATTATGTCAGTTTCAGAAACAACCATTTAGTGATCATTTGCAGGCAGTCTACAGGGTGTTGAGATACTTGAAGAAAAACTGTGGACAAGGCATACATTTCAGTAGCAAAGCAGATTCGATGCTAGTAGGATTCACAAAATCAGATTGGTAAGTTGTTCAGACACAAGGAGGTCGACAACAGGATATTGCACTTTCCTATGAACCTCTTTACTAACTTGGAAGAGCAAGAAGCAAACCACAGTGTCCAGATCTTCAATAGAGGATGAGTATAGGGCTTTGGCTCTTCTAGTTTGTGAAGTTGAGTGGCTGAAGGGTTTACTTGTTGAATTGAGTGTGAAAGTTCCCCTTCCTATCTCAGTCTACTGTGACAACAGATCGGCAATACATATAGCACAGAATCCCGTGTTCCATAAAGAATAAAGCATATAGAGATTGATATGCATGTGACTAGAGAAAGGATCAAAACTGGACTAATCAAGCTTCACCATGTGAGTAATTTCAACAAACTAGCAGACTTGTTAACAAAAGGATTGGATAGAGCATAATGCAAGCTTTATTGGTCAAGTTGGGAGTAAGAGTGACTGCCACAACTTGAGGGAGGCTGACATAATTCAAATCCAAACTGCAGAAGTATTAGAGAAGTAGAGGCTCCAAGGAGAAGCTGGTAGAAACGTGCAGAAAGGAACAAACGTTTTTTTTTTTTTTACTATTGGAGTCATTTTAAGTGCTGCTATGTCGTTTTATTATTAGTGGTGTGTAATAGCATTTAGTTATTTTTAAATACTATTTAGATTTTAAATGAACTAATGGAAAGTAGCCAAGTGACATATGAAGATCAATCCTTCCACGAACCCTTCCAAGTTTAATCTTAAAATCAAGCCATCCACTCAATAGTAAGCACCATCACTGCCATTACAATTAGTGAAATTGCCTCCTTTTACCAACCATAACAACCAGCTCACACTTCCCTACTTATGCAACACACATGAGAGCAGTAACAAACAACATCCGCTTTGTAAGGAACACAAACCACCGGTTAAGTGATAATAAAATCCTTATAAGACTCTTCAATGCCTCGGTACCTTCCCCTGCCACGAGAAGTAAAAAAATCCTAGCAAGATCCCACCAATGACATGTAAAATATAAGTTAAAACCTCATTTCTGTTACTCCTATTATATATACGTTTAGCCATTATGACTTGAATTTCCTTGTTATTAGCCTAAAGGTATATTAAGTAGTCTCTAGGTGTGTTTTTATATTTTTTATATCTTTTTTATAGTACTTTTTGCATTTTTCAGGTCACAACATCCAAGTGGCTCACCTTGTATGAGCTGGAGACATCAACATTAGTGAATCCATGGCTCGTCCCGAATATAACAATAAAAATTCCGACTAAGGACCAAGTATAAAACTTAATTGGGTGCAATATAGGGCAAGTATGTTTTAAAAGTCAAACCATGGCCGGTCTATGTACCCCTACTTCAATTGTTTGGAACATTATCTAGCAATCGAGCTTTGGTTGAAACTATGAACCAAAATTGAAAGCAATTGGAAATGTAAATGGTTTTGAACACTAATTGAGAAGGATCCACCCGAATGTTGCTCTCCCTAACTAGTAATCACGATTTGTCGGACCGAATGCAAGTGTGTGGTAAAAGCACTTGTAAACAGTAGGGAAGCGCAACAAGTGAATAAGCTTCACTCTCTCGGTCACTAGGCCAAGGGATATCATATCAAGCTACCAAGGTAGCTCTCTTGGCCAATCGACTAAGGCTTGCTTAGGCTTCTCCCTCGAACCATAGTCCGGATGGCCAAAATACAACCTACCCAAGGTGCTAACATGTAGTATGAGGTTTGCCCTAATTCAACCCAAGTAGGTTACACAATTTGGCCAATGAATCTAGCTTTTACAAGCCTCTTAGCAAGAAGGGGATTTCCCTCTACCTAGGTCAAATTGGCATAAGAGTTGGAATTGCAAATACACAACACAAGCTTCATGAAAATGTCTCAATACTTGTATTAAACACAACCACACACGAATCATTCAGTCCATACAAGCATTCACATAATTCTAGCTAGGGTTTAAAAACACCCAAGTGAAAGAAATGACTACTCCATGCTAAGAAGTGGGATTACACAAAGGAGAAGAGAGACCATCATGAGTGGGTTGCCTTCTTCCTTTAGGTGTGGAGATCGTCCTTTGAGGATGAGAATCCCAATTCTTGGAGCTTGGACTTCTCTTCTCTTGTTTGTCACTTTCTCTCTCTAGATATCTGAAGAAGAAGTTTTTCACACTAGGTTCTCACCCTTTTCTCTTTCAGCTCAACCCTCCTTTTATAACTAGATTGATGGCTTTTCATAGTCCCAGTTCACGGACCTGAACTATAGGCATGGAAAGTGATGTTCTGCAAAAGCGCGACGTTTCATTAATGCCCTTCACAGTCTGGGGCTGATAATCACGATCGAGTGGCCATGAACTACTAAATTCCCGCAAGATGGACGAAACCCTCCTGAAATCCTCACACTTCAAGACCCGCACCTTGTCATCACGGTATGGCTGACTGTGAACTTCTGGCCTCCACCGTGAACTCCTGTTGTTTACTCCCTTTTGATCCATTTTCGCCAGTCTTAGTAAACCGGTCCGGACCGGCGGCTAGACCGATAAAAATCGGACCCGGGCAACAATCCAGGCTCGGAAGACTTGAAATGGCAAGAAAGCTGCTCGGCCGGGTTGCGTCCGGTTCGCTCGGGTAACCATCAAAACCATTGCACCCGAACATGCGTTGTGGAACTAATTCATCTATTTTAAGCTTTTGAGTAAAATAATAAAAACCTCCCGAATCAATGTGGTGTATGCTTTAATGAGTGTATATGCTTTAACAACCACCTACCCACCCCTTTTAATGTTTTAACTTTCAATTAATGTTTCCTAAAAAATTAAACTTTCTTGGAAAGTGAAGATAAGCACTCCACACCTTTCGAGCACCACTGGTTAGGTTGCAAGATATCAGTAGGCATGTTAGCGGTTTTATGACCGGTTTGTCATACCGGTTGATTATGGTTAGTCAATAAATTTTGAACCTATCATTAATACAAATTGATGTCCGATCTGGTTTTGACAACATTGGTTTTCACCCCTTTTTGTCCAAATTTTGTTCCAGAGGTTGATTTCACTTGGTAGGATATGAAAAATGCTAAAAACAAGCACAACCTAGAGTAAAATCGAGCCTTACGGAGTAAAGGCGCTTCAAACATCTAAGAAAAGTGGGGGGGGGGGGGGTAAATGTGTACAATTAGACCCGAATCAATCCACCATTCCAAAATGACTGTCAGAATTTTCTGGCAAATCCCAAAATGGTGGCCCAGGCACCATTTTTTCCAACCATGCCTTTTTCACAATTCAACGGCACAAGAATAAAAACCACAATCAAACCGATCTAAACTTGTATTGAACCAAAATGGTTGTCAGAGACAAAAAAAAATGGCAGAGAGAATATGATTTGGAAAAATCTCGAACGAGGAAATGGAAGAGAGAATAAGAGGGCTTGAAAGGAGGTGAGGAACTTATTCCTAGACAAGAATAAATAGTCCACAATATATAAGTATAAGTAAAACTCAGGGAAAGAGATGGCAAAAAAAAAAAAAAAGACAGAGGAGGAGGATGGTCAAGAGTGGATAGAAAGGAAGACGAAGGGAAACTCAAGAGGTAGGGATCAAGTTACAATAAACCTTACTACTCTACCAAACACAATCAAGTCACATATACCTTGGCTAAGTGATATAGCTTAGCAATGACCTTCAATGTCATATTCCCTCAGAGTATCGGCTCTATTGATACCTGCAACAATTTATTATTTACCTAAATTTGATTGGTAAATTTTTTTGGGTAAATGGCAAGTTTGGTCACTATATTTACTAAAATGTGTCATGTTTAGCCACTGAAAAAATTATATAAATTTTGGTCACTCGAATTAGTAAAACAGTACATATTTCGTCACTCTCCGTTAACTTTATCTAATGTGGCAGTCAACCCTAAAAATTGACCGTTAAATGTCTTACGTGTCAATTAAAAAATTAATAAAAAATTATTTTAATATTTCCATGTCATTAAAATAAAATAAAAAATGGTAAAAATGGCGGGCCTCACTCTACCCAAAACCCACCACTAAAGAAAAACAAACCCAAAACCCCATCTTCCACTCCCCGCCATTCCCACCTCCACAACAAAACCACCACCAACACCAAGCCAATTAACGAAAAGCTCTCTAATCCCATTAAACACCATAACAACAAACCACCGCCTTCTTCCTCCTCTTCCTCCTCTTGGGGCGAGTTCAAGAACCTCCTAACCTGCAAACAAATCGAACCCTCCGTTGTCCACGACCCTGCAGCATCCAAGCCCAATTCCAATAAGCTCGGCTCCTCCTGCGGCTCCATCTGCAACTTCCGATACGTCGTCCATGGCAACACACGTGTTGTCCACCGCACCGAAAACTCCCCCGACACCAGCTCCCTCGGCCAGCACCAATTGGGTCCCCCTACCTCCCCAATCGACCTCGAGAACCGACTCAGCACCACCGCTGTCACCCCCGTAATCATCTTCTTCCACGACGGAAGCTTGACCCACTCCTCCGTGGGCAGCGCGATTTATGACAACTTCTGTCGCCGCCTCGTCTCCCTCTGCGGCGGCGCCGCCGTCGTCATCTCTCTCAACTGTCGTCGGTCGCCGAAGAATCGGTACCCGTGCGCCTACGACGAGTGAGCGGCTCTCAAGTGGGCCAAATCCAGGCCCTACCTCCGCACCAGTAGACCACAACTCCTCTGACGTACACGTGTACCTTGCCGTTGACAGCTCTGGCGGGAACATCGCTTACCACGTGGTCGTGAAGGCCGCCGAAGCTAGGATTTCGATACTGGGCAACGTCCTGCTCTACCCGAAGTTTTGGTTTTATTTTTTTATCATTATTAATGATGTGAAAATATTAAAAGAATTTTATTAATTTTTTAATTGTCACGTCAGACATATAACGGTCAACTTGTACTGTTTTACTAATTCAAGTGACCAAAATTTATATTTATTTTTTTAGTGACTAAACCATAGACCAGGAAACCGGATCGTACCGGCCGGTTCAACCGGTTCAACCGGAAATTGGACCAAAAGCGGTACGGTAGGTTGATTGTGCTGATTTTACCGTGCCTGTCGGTTTTTTCGGTTTGACCGGTTGAACAGGCCGGTACGATCCGGTTTCCTGTCTATGATTCAGCTTCATTTCTACGTATTCTCGTCCAATATGTGGAAAATAATTAAAAAAGAATATTATTTTGCTATTTTTCTATGTTGAAAATGGGCCACCGTGGTTGTATAATGCTCTATTTGGTTCTTTTTTTGATGGATTATATTTTTTATACTATCGCATTTCATTTCTCTATCAATAGTGAAAAACGGTATTTACTGGTACAAAACGGTTGAACCACGGTCGTACCACAAAATACCATACCAGAAAGGAATCCGGTATGATGTCCGGTACGGTTTCCTTTACCATGGACTAAACATGACACATTTTAGTAAACCCAATGACCAAACTTGGCATTTACCCAAATTTGTTTTATAACAAACGAGAGAACTAACTTGCAATTTAATGGCTAACTTAATAGAGATGAGTTACATGGAATTAGTATCCCCTAGCTCTAGCATGCAATCAAATGGATCGACGTCTGTGTATTTCCCCCAATCCTTTATGATGCAAGAATCTTCTAGATGACTACTTGATTTATTAGCTATTCAACCAACTAATTACCAGAGCATTAGGCTTGATTCAATGCTCGTGCAATTAAAATATAGTACTACTTGATGTGGGTTCTAGTTTTCACCTTACTAGATAGTTATTAAATTAGGCCAAGAACATGGCAAATAACTAATTGATAACATCCATTGGTGTTATTTGCTACATTTCTAAATCTTGGTGTTTTAATGTCATATTGTGCATCAACGATAAATTAAACCCCCACTTAGCGTTCATTAGCTTCCTATCATATAGGAGACGCCAGTAAAGTCCACCTAGTCAAGCGTCGAGATCTAAAATCCCATGTCTTCTCCCATCTCGACCAAGAGGAGGAGACAATGAAGCTGCAACCTTAGAATATCGAAGCTCAACGCATATCAGTATCTCTTCCCCAAACCTCCAATGCCTGCGAAGTCGACGTCGATCTCCTTACCCTCACCAAATGCTGCATCTTGGCTGAAGCCGTACGGAGAGATGAAAATGATGACGATTAGACATCGTCGTCGTGCCTAGAGCCGTCTAGAGAGATGAAAATGATGATGATTAGAAAGTGTCGTCGTGGCTAGAACCGTCTGAAGAGTAGGCATCATAGACAAGAAGAGTGAAGAGAATAAGTCTCTGTGTGACAGTAATATATATTTTCTTTTTTTTCATAATCAAATAAAAAAATTAGCATTAAAAACCGACTTTTAGGGCAAATGATGGACCGCGGCGTCGGGCCGATACAGATGTGGCTAATGGGCCTGTTGTGAATGGGCCTCGCCGATCAGCAAGGGGTCGCCAGCCCAATCCTCGTTTCATCAACGAGTAACGGTCGAAGAAGATGCAGCAGATCACCATGCCATGCAGCTAGGGGTTTGTTATTCTGTTTCCATTTGTTATTCGAACGTTAGGAAATAAAGTAAGTTCCACCTTAAGTGGAGCAGGGTAGTTAGTTTGTTAGCTAGTTTTTGAATTGTTGATGTCGTTGTAGCCTACTTATAGGCTTGGGATCTTTTGGAATAAGGTATGCAATTATTCTTCTGCAAAGCAGTAGCCTGGTTATTCTCACCAAGAAACGAGAAACACTGGCCCAATCCCGCCAAGAAAAGGGATCTATTCAATCGTACAACTTCGATCCATATCATTTGGTATCAGAGCCCTCTATGGGCACTCACGCACAACGAATCGAGGCTCTCGAAGCCGTCGAGACTAGCAACCAACAAAATTTCCAAGCCATTCAAGATCAGCTGGCCGCCCTTCAGCTCGCCATGACCCAGCTGGCCCAAGCAACCGCTGCCAAGAACAATGCTCCACCATCCGAGGAAGGGGATAAGTCCGTCAACGGCGCGTCTTACCTTTCGCACCATGAAGATCGCGGCAAGCAGCCGTTCTTCGGCGCTAAACTCACCCGACTGGAATTTCCATCCTTTGCCGGCGACGATCCGACAGTTTGGTTTTCCCGGGTCGAGCAGTTCTTCGAATTTCAAGACATTCCGGAGGAACAAAAAGTTAATCTCGCCTCGTATCACCTGGAGGGCGATGCCAACCAGTGGTGGCAATGGCTGCGGCGGACTTATCAGACGGAAGGACTCACCATCACATGGGACGTCTTCACATCCGAGCTGTGGACTCGCTTTGGGGGCACGGCGGGAACCGGGTTCGATGAAGCCCTTTCTCGTATCCGCCAAACCGGCACCTTGAAGGACTATCTCACTGAGTTCGAACGCCTGGGAAACCGCGTCCACGGGTGGACCCAACAAGCACTCGTCGGGACTTTCCTGGGAGGCCTCAAGCCGGTCATTGCCGACGGGATCAGGATCTTCAATCCCAAAACTCTGAAAGATGCGATCAGTCTGGCGCGAGCACGCGAGGAGCAGCTGAATCGCCATGGCAGTCCCCCACGCCAACCGTCTAGATCGGCCATGGACTACACCACGCCACCTCGGCCTAAGCCGCGTCCGACTTTTGATGCCTCATTCCAACCAAGGCCCCGCCCTTTTCCACTGCACGAGGGTCCTGCCAACATTTCCCCAGCGAATGCAGCACCACGACAGCGGCCGCCGGGGTCAAAGAGGTTGAGTCATGAGGAAATGCACCGTCGCCGTCAACTTGGGCTGTGCTTCAACTGCGACGCTCCTTATTCGGCGACGCACCACTGCGAAGGTGGGAAACTTTGGATGATGTGGAATGACGATGAGGAAGAAGACCTAGAAGAGGCGGAAGTGTCGTTTCATGCGATCACGGGCTTGGATAAAGGTCGCACGTTGAGGGTGTGGGCCGACGTCAATGGGCTTCGTCTCATGGTCCTCATAGACAGTGGGTCGACCCATAACTTCATCAGCTCACGGGCTGCTGAACGTCTCAAGCTACCAATCTCACCGATTCCAGTGCTGCAGGTCAAAATTGCAAATGGCAGCCCATTGGAATGTCTAGGAAAAATCGACAATGTGCCCCTCTCCATCCAAGGTTCCACTTTCCACGTGAATCTCCACACCATTCCATTATCCGGATTCGATGTGGTACTAGGCGTACAATGGTTGGCAACGTTGGGCACGGTCCAAAGTAACTGGAAAACTCTCGAGATGGAGTTCTTATGGGATGGTCAGCTGTGGAGAATCCACGGTGTTCAGCGAGGGCCTCCAACTATCATGTGCTTCGAGGAGCTCGTCAAAGAAGAACATGTCTTAATGGCCCTCTGTATTGCCCCCGCTGCCCATGATCCCCTTCGAAGTGTCCCGGCTGAAATGCACGCACTCATTCGGGAATTTGGTGATCTATTTGAAGAACCACAGCAGTTGCCACCCTCGCGAACCATCGAGCATAAGATACAGCTCAAAACCGGCGCCAAAGCTATCAATGTTCAACCGTATAGGTACGCGCACTTTCAAAAAAGGAGATCGAATCAGAGGTCAATCAGATGCTTGCGGCGGGGCTTATTCAGCCTAGCACTAGTCCCTTTTCATCGCCAGTTCTCCTTGTGAAAAAGAAAGACGGAACATGGCGATTCTGTACGGATTACCGAGCACTAAATTCGGTAACAGTGAAGGATCGCTTCCCTATTCCCACGGTCGATGACATGCTCGACGAACTTCATGGGGCAGCCGTCTTCACCAAACTCGATCTGCGTGCGGGCTATCATCAAGTGCGCATGAACATCGATGATGTGCAAAAAACCGCCTTCCGTACTCATAACGGCCACTACGAGTATCTCGTAATGCCCTTTGGTCTGTGCAATGCCCCGTCTACATTCCAGGCGATCATGAACGAAATTTTCCGGCCCCTCCTTCGCAAATCCGTTCTGGTATTCTTTGACGACATCCTCGTCTATAGCCCGGACAAGGAAACGCATATCAAACATGTCCGCCAGGTCTTCCAAATTCTACGGCAGCATCAATTCTACGTCAAATTCAGTAAGTGTGCTTTTGGTCTTTCGGAAATTGAGTATTTGGGCCATTTTATTTCTGCTGCCGGGGTAAAGGCAGATCCCAAGAAAATCACAGCTATGGTGAACTGGGCCACGCCCACCAACGTGACGGAGCTTCGCGGCTTCCTCGGCCTCACCGGCTATTACCGCAAATTCGTCCGCAACTATGGAATGATAGCTCGGCCACTCACCAATCTTCTCAAACGTGGGCAGTACCACTAGTCGGAGGAGGCTGACTCGGCGTTCCGAGCTCTCAAAACCGCGATGACCTCGACTCCGGTCCTCGCGTTACCGGATTTCTCCCAGACGTTTTTTGTGGAAACGGACACATCCGGGACGGGTCTTGGGGCGGTTCTGATGCAAAGTGACCGGCCCATAGCTTATTTCAGTCGGGCATTAGGAAAGAAAAACTAGGGCCTCTCCGCCTACGCTAAGGAGATGTTGGCGGTTGTCACCGCGGTACAGGCTTGGCGGCCCTACCTTCTTGGGCGTCGATTTCTTATTTGGACGGATCAAAAAAGTCTGAAACACTTACTGGGCCAGCGGATTACCACTCCTGAACAGCAAAAGTGGATCTCCAAACTCTTGGGCTTTGATTACGAAATAGTTTACAAGCCCGGTCCCGAAAATAAGGCCGCCGATGCACTCAGCCGAAGGCCCGCCGACCCGGCCGCCGATGATTTCAACCGCAGGCCCGCCGACCCTTCCCTGTACGTGGTCTCCATGCCCTACACGGCTCTTTGGGATTCGCTTCAAGATACGGCTAACGACCACCCTTATATGCAGCAAGCTCGGCGGAAAGCTCTCTCACCCAATCCTGGCCACTTCTCCTTGCATCACAATATGCTGCACCGGCGTGGAAAGCTGGTGATCCCTCCTCAATCATCCCATGTCCCGCAACTACTCCACGAGTTCCATGCCACCGCCATGGGGGGGCACTCCGGGATCGAGCGCACCTACAAACGTTTGGCGACCTACTTTTACTGGCCGAACATGCTAGAGGATGTGAAACGCTACGTCCAAGCGTGCGACATCTGCCAACGTGCCAAAGCTCAGTCTTTAGCCCCCGCCGGGTTGCTTCAACCTCTCCCAATTCCGACGCAGGTGTGGCAGGATGTCTCCATGGATTTCATCGACGGTCTGCCCTCCTCCGGCGGCAAGACTGTCATTTTGGTGGTGGTTGACCGCCTAACAAAGTCAGCCCATTTTATTCCACTTTCCCACCCATGCACGGCACGTTCGGTGGCTGATGCGTTCCTCAACGGGGTTCTCAAGCTCCATGGGCCTCCGCGATCGATCGTCAGCGACCGCGACCCAACTTTCACTAGTGGCTTCTGGCGGGAGCTGTTCCGTCTCTCCGGGACTAAGTTGGCCATGTCCTCCTCCTACCATCCGCAAACCGATGGTCAGACTGAGGTTGTCAATCGTTGCGTCGAGCAATACCTCCGGTGCTTCACTAGTCAGAATCCTCGCCGTTGGCTTCTGTTCTTGCCATGGGCAGAATTTTGGTACAATACCACGTTCCACAGCTCTGCCGGTATGTCTCCTTTCCAGGCACTATATGGCCGACTTCCTCCTACCATTCCGTTCTATCGGCCCGGATCCACTTCCGTCCATGAGGTGGAACAAACTCTCCTCGACCGTAATGCCATCTTGGAGGACCTCCACCACAACCTCACTATCGCTCGCAATCGCATGAAGCAGCAGGCCGATGCTGGCCGCCGCGACCTCGAATTCCAGGTGGGCGATGCGGTATACCTCAAACTCCACCCCTACCGCCAGCACTCTGTCTTTCGTCGGGCTTCCCAAAAATTGGCCTGCCGTTATTTCGGACCCTATTTGATTACGGAACGTATCGGCGGCGTCGCGTACCGTTTGGCACTCCCACCAGGTAGTCGTATTCATCCCATTTTTCACGTCTCTCTCTTACGACCGTGTCATTCCCCGGCTGTCCCACCTAGCACGACTGCACCACCCCTTGGCGATGATGGTTCCTTGATCCTCCAGCCTCGCGCTATTCTGGACACACGTTGGACGCGATGCGGCAACCGCGTGGTGGAAGAGCTATTGGTCCAGTGGGACCAGCTGCCGGCCGACGAAGCCACTTGGGAGCTTGCCTCCGTCTTCAACGAGCGTTTCGTTCATCATGGGCTCGAGGACGAGCCTGTTCTTCATCCGGGGGGTAATGATGGACCGCGGCGTCGGGCCGATACTGATGTGGCTAATGGGCCTGTTGTGAATGGGACTCGCCGATCAGCAAGGGGTTGCCAGCCCAACCCTCGTTTCATCAACGAGTAACGGTCGAAGAAGATGCAGCAGATCACCATGCCATGCAGCTAGGGGTTTGTTATTCTGTTTCCATTTGTTATTCGAACGTTAGGAAATAAAGGAAGTTCCACCTTAAGTGGAGCAGGGTAGTTAGTTTGTTAGCTAGTTTTTGAATTGTTGATGTCGTTGTAGCCTACTTATAGGCTTGGGATCTTTTGGAATAAGGTATGCAATTATTCTTCTGGAAAGCAGTAGCCTGGTTATTCTCACCAAGAAACGAGAAACACTGGCCCAATCCCGCCAAGAAAAGGGATCTATTCAATCGTACAACTTCGATCCATATCAGCAAATAAACCCAGCAGTCTCTCAAACCGTTGTTAATACAAGCATCAACAAAAGGACTTTTAAAACAAGTCTCTGTAAAAGAAAACCCCTATTTAATTTCACTAACTACCATCCGAACTCCAGGCTGTCAAAATCAATTTGGAGATCATGAATCCCTGCCACTCGACACCTTACTGCATTATGCACTTCATGACTAAGCAATTCTGGATTTTTAGCTCTTCTTACACCATACATTCTGCAGCATCTCTCCCTCCAAACTAAACTTAAAGAGACACACCAGATCAAACGACAGATTCGGATGGCAGGTACGGTACCTTTTTAGACAAGTTGTGCACACACCATTCTAAAGTAGCCATCCAATCAAGATAGACAGGTGGAACTCTGTTCTTCAGGAAACTGTGTAAGGACATAGATTTAAAAGATGGTTCTGATCCTCAATCTCACCAGGGCATAACAAGCAAGCTCATACTATTTCAACTTGTCCCGAAACACCAATCGATTTTGAATAGCCATCCACAGGGTAAATCCATATTTTTGGATAATCTCTTTACTCCATACCAATGGGAGCCAGTTAACCTTTCCATCCTTCTCTCTAATCGACTCCCATACTCTTTTTATGGAATATCTGTGCATTGCCACATCATCCCATTCGACCTCATTATCAGAAACAGAAAAAATTGTTGCACAACACTTCTACACATAAGTAATCTTTTCAATGTACAGGTTCCAATAGCCTTTGCATTCAAGGACCAAATTTGTTGACCTTCGATCCTATACCTTTTGACCTATGCTACCCATATGGATCCACCCTCTGCCAGTATCTAGCATAAATACCTTATAACACAAGCCATATTCCAAATCTTAAAGTTTCTTATACCCAGGCCACCCTCAAATTTAGGCTTTGCCAATTTATCCCAGGCCATAACTACTTTTCTCCTCCCCTCTGCTTCAACTATATTCCATAAGAAGACACAATCTCTCAACCTTGGTAATTACATACTTTGGAAAGAGAAACATGTTCATCCAATATTGCAGAGTTCTTGAAATCATTGTATTGATTAATTGAACCTTCCCTGCGTAGCTCAGACGTTTGTCCTCCACCTCCTCAGTCTTTTAGTGATCTTATCAATAATCACTTGGCAGTCCCTCTTGGTTGATTTTCTTGTTATCAATGGAACTTCAAGATACTTTACAAGCAGAGTTCCTAGAGGGAAATCAGTATATGCAAAAATAGCCTCTATTTCCCCTCTTGGAATACCTGCACAGAATAATCAACTCTTTGTTGAGTTGCATTTTAAAGACCTGAATGTCTATAGAATTCTTCTAATAACCTTGTAATCTCTGCTACTCCTCTCACTGACCCGTTTGTAAAGACCATCATGTCATCAGCAAAACAAAGGTGAGTAATCTCTAAAGGCTTACGCCTCGGACGATAAGGTATCTGGCCTTCATATACTGCCTTCTTAATCAGACAATAAAAAAATTTCATAGCAACAGTAAACAAGTAAGGGGCAGAGGGCCCTCTTGTCTAAGTCCCTTCTTTGCTCAGATTTTCCCACAAAGACCCCCATTAATGGCAACACTAATAAGAGGAGTTGTAATACAAGCCTTGACTAGAAGTAAGAAACCCCCGGCAATCCCATGGCAGTCATGATTGAAAAAAGAAAGTCCCAATTTACAGAGTCAAATGCCTTCATGATGTCGATGTTAACCACACACTTAGAAGACACATTTGCTCTAGCCTATGATAATCCCTGACAAGCTCAGACACTAAAAGGATATTAAATGATTATTAAAGATTAACAACATCACAACAACATTCCAACTCAACACTCAATATGCCACCTCAGCATCAATTAACGGAAATTTGTTCAACAAATTAACGGATGGCTAATTATTTAAATTTTCATAAATTTGACTAATATTTTAGAATATGAAAAAGGTTTAACTAAAACATATTATTTACCGAAATTAATTCCATGCTTGGCACATATATCAAAGGGAACAAAATAACTATTAACAGTGGGCCTAACCCACTTTTGCCCACTATCAAAAGTCATAAAAGCGTGGGCTTGACAAGTAATCCGATGGCGATGGTGGCCCGCTGCGAAGCACGGCACCATATGAGTATGACCATATCTTGTATAGTTGTTAATAGCTGCTGGCTTTTATTAATCAACAGCGCTCCCTCATTGTTAACTTAACTACCAAGCTTTGCGAAACCAAAAGAAAAGCAAGTTGAGTACTGACGAGTTTTCGACGATGACAAGACAAGACAGCAACAGTGGGCGACATGTGCATCCATTTCAATCTAAATTAGCAGCCGAGAATATCACTTGACAACATTACAAAATGTGTAACAATCCCACAACACAACAGAATGCCAAATTGAACAGACAACAAAAACAGTATTTCCCAAATGTTATCTGAAAATCAGGAAGAGTGCCCACTTAACAAGAAAGCTTAATTAATTGTAAAACCAAAAACAAACCACTCCCTCGGAATCTGGAGGGAGAAGAGCTCACCACCTACATGCAATGCAAGACAAACAGATACAACAACAAACAGAGAGAGCTATGATCATTCCCCTCCAAGTCTTCCTTTTTTCTCCTTCCTCTGAAACTTCCTACAAAGCCAAACTCACTGAAGTTAATCCCACACACAGCAACGCCTCTACTTCTTCCTGTTTCGTGACTCATAGTGTCCTAGGAAAAGAGGTAAAGCAACCAAGAAACAAACAACTGTGTATCAATTGTAAAATATTTCTTAAAAAGAGCTAATATAGTTACTAAACTACTCACCAAATAGCATGGACAGTTATGAATGGAAGAAGGGAGGTGGTAGTTAGGATTTAATTACCTGGAACTTGGCAGAAGCATGCAAGTGGGTTTCCTTTTCCAATTTCTGTTTTAATTTCTTCAAGTGATTGGAAGAGAGTTCAGTGGTCAGCTGAACGGGGAGAAGCGGAGGAAGGCGCCCTGTCAGAAACGACGCTGCCGTCCTCCTCGCCGTGTATCCTGGCCGGAATGCGGAACCCATGAATCCCTTCCGACCCGAGAAACCGGCTCCCGAACAGCAGCGACTGATGGAACTCGTGGGCTCTCTGGTTGCTGCTGCTGCTGTTGTGTTGTTGTTGTTGGTGGTGGTGGTGGTGTGGGTGATGGTTCTCTGCAGCCGCGCCCATCGGAAGATCGTTCCAAGCGCGAATCGACTGCACAAACCCACTGGACTGAAGGGGACTCCTCTGAGATGACAAACCCGACGAACCTTGGCCTATCATCAATGCTGCATGCGGCGACAGTTGATGATGATGCGGATTATTATTGAATCCGAACACTCCACCACCGCCGCCGTCACCTCTGCTCCCGCCGCCCGATTCGGCGCTCCAAGCCACCATTCTCTGGAAATTCGCATCGAACCCGCCCGACCCGGTCTGGAACAGGCTGTGGTGGGTACCCGGTCGGGTATTACCCGTATCCGGCTGCTGCTGGTGGGATTGGGCGTGGGGAATCAGGGCCTGGTCTTGAAACGAGTGAAGCGATAAGCCCAGATCCTCGCTGTGATTGGCTGTTCTGGACATTAGATCGGGTGGGTAGCTCTGGAAATTCATGGATAAGGTGGTCGAGCTGGTGGGGAAGAAGGATTTCATGGTCTCGGGAATCCCGTCGGGATCTATCTGAAGGAACGACGGCGGCGCGGAGTGGTTGCCGACGTTCTCGCCTCCCAATTGCCGGTGAAGCTGAAAGCCGTAGCCAGAGGACTCCGATTGCTCTGCCATGTCCAGTTCCCTGGGGTTGTGTTCGGATTCCAAACCCTCCTCGTCATTAGCGCTGTCGGCGGCGGCGGCGGTGGGATGCCAGGGAGGAAGCTCGGCCAGTTTGTCGATGGAGGATTTTGCCTTCTTGATGAGCCAATCGACGGCTTTGCTGGGCCGGTCGTAGCCGAGGCGGTCCTGCACATCGTAGAATTGGATGGCGGTGTGGGCAGAGAGCCTGACCCGGCGGTCTCTGGGACCTTTGGCGGTGTAGACCTTGCTGTGACGGTCTTTCCTGCCCGTGGAGCGAACAATGTGGCCTCCTTGGACTTGAATAATCTCTCCTCCTCCGCCGCCCTTGGTCCCCATTGATCTCTGCGCCCGCCTGCTCTTCACATAATCAGTGGTTGGTTCTGGGTTGTTGGGTTCTTGCTCTAGCTGCAGCTCCGTTGGATTGGAGGAGCTAATGTTTACGGCTGCTTCTTCCCCATAGTGTTGCTGTAGAAATTGAAGGTGGTGGTGGTACTGTGGAATCGTGGAGGCTAGATTTTGCTGCTGCTGCTGCTCTTCTTCTTGGGGTCTCAGATCAGGAAATTGGTAGACAGAATTCTGCTGCTGGTTTCTCTGGAAATCCAGATTCCCCAATCTTCCAAGGTTAAGAAAGAAAAAGGAAAAAAGGATGAAAGGTGTTCAATTTCTTCAAGGCAAAGCTCTATTTTCTTTTCTTTTTCTGCTGTTATGGTTGCTTCTTCCTGCTGCTATTGAAGCTATTCATTAAAAGGATGAAACACTGCTGCTGCCTGCCTGCTCTGCTGCCGCTGCTGATCCCAATAAAAGCTCGTCATAGCATTCTGCAGATTCCATGGCCACCCACCACCGCCAAATCTACCAAAGACAGCTGGAAATATGTAGAAACTAATCACTGGGAATGATAAGATATATATATAGTTGAACTTGTCTCAAGAAAAAGCTACTGTATCCCACCAAAAGTAAAAATACTACTGTAGAACAGACTGATCAATTCACCCACCACCTCCCCAAAACGAGTTCAGAAAACTGAAATGAGATAGGAAGTGGCGAGATCTAAAAATGTTCTCTTGAGCAAAAGCAGACTATGGGATGATGTACTCTGGAGCTCACTATGGGAAGAAAAAGAGCTTGAAGATGCAAGAAGAGATAGAGAAGCTTGGATTTTGGGACAAGTGAGGTGAGGATGTGATAGAGGGATTGCGGCAAGTGTTGAAGACAAAAAGGAAAAAAAGAGCAGGAAATAATGGCCAAATGGGTAAAATAGGGTTTCTTTTCTTATATGTTTTTAATTATTTATTTATAATTTATTTACGGTATGTTTCTTCATTTATTATGCGAGTGACAGTGTAAGCTTTGATGCTTCTGGCAAAGTGTGGCAGAGTTTCGGCCAGAAAGGCCAAATTAACGATAAAAGAAAAAGGCTTTATAGATTTTTCTTCTCTTTTTGTTTTGTTCTGTTATGCGAGATATGTGATATACTCTCAAATGTCAGCCCCACAGAAACACAAATGCAGAGTGGCCTCCGTCGGTATTGTTAAATTGAAGAGGAAAAAAAAAACACCCTGTCAATGGGGACCGCTGTCTTGTAACTGTCTAAGAATGTCTTGTTTTTGCTTAATACATTATATATATCTGGAAAAATTCGATGGTATCATGATATCACATCCACTGATCCATATACCTAGAGGCAATGCATGCATTTTGATTCGAGTCTAAATGATACATATTTTAACATCCATTTCTTGATCGTTTCACATAGTGTTTAGCGTTTGTTGATTTGTTTTACGTTAAGTAGTGTTTTGTTTGTAACATTTCAGGTCCTAAGATATAAATATGACCGAGGACGTGGTCATGTTGTGTTCAGTATCAAGACCCAGGACGTCGTCGTATACTCCAGAGCACGTGTCTGGCGATTTCTTATAGTAACACGATCATGTTAAGTTCTCGTGCATGGTGTTGAGGAGCAAATGGCAAATGACATCTCACCGACGTTTAAAGAAGCCACGATATCTGAACCGTAAGATCAACAACCAAGTTCTTAGTGGGTCCTAAGACGGTGCATTTGATTGACAAAGAAGAACACGACCATATTCCAAGGTGTGTTCATGCTGCTTCTGAAGACTTCCTAAAACGTCTAACACTTGGGGAACATGGTCTCATAACATGATTGTGTTACGTGACCATGTTTGAGTTGTTTCTACGGACTATAAATCTGCATGTGCGAAATGAAAGAGGGGAGAGTTTGGGGTTTCGACCCAAAACACCAAAGTTGCAATTTCTAGAGAGAGTTATCTTGGTGGGTTCTTAGAGAGATTGGAGGCTTGGATCACCATTGGTGCTTGACGATCACCCATATCCATGAAGATTTAAGATATTGGGCATTTTATTGTAATCTCTCTCTTCTTTACGAATTAACACTCTTCACTTAGGTTGATGAACCCTAGTTCTAGATTTTGGATTGATTGTAGATACTTGTGACAACCCTATGATTGTGATTTTCCATAATGTATTGATTGAGTATTTATCATGCAATATTTTTTTATCTTGATCTCATCCCTCAATTTGGGGCTTTTGCTCTAGGAGAGAGAATATCTGACTAGGTTGAATAGAGCAATATCAAAACATCATTGTGGGTCTATGAACAAGTGTGATTGGGTTTGTGTTAGGCCGCATTGGATTTTTCCAATCGTGGGAGTTGGTTGTGAACACCTTAATTACATAGGTTGGTTGTATGCTACGCCTGATTCGGGCCTAAATGTACACTTTTTATCCCCGTTTCTTGTATGTATGGTGGTTGTATGGTGGTTTTACGCTAGGTTTCTTGTGTTTCAATGTATTTTAGAGTCTAACAGGTGAAACCTACCCCCGAGTCGAAAGTTGGAAGAAAAAGAGCAAAGACCGGGCAAAGAGGAGTTTTCAGCCGAAGTTCACGGTCAAAACTTGGAGTTAAAGGTAGCCAGGACCGTGAAGTGGAACCATAAACCATGAACCGCGAAGCGTCCAGAAGGGTTTCAGAGGTTACTAACGCCGAGGCAGTTCACGGTTGCTAAGACCGTGAACTGGGGCCATGGACTGTGAACACCATAAGTGAAGCGGCGTGTTTTGATCGAAGTTCACGGACGCGGCCTGATATTCACGGCCGTGAACTGGGACCGTGAATTGCGCGCGATCTGAGTATAAATAAAGAGCTGAAAGGAAGAAGAAGAGGGAGCCAAAAGTGAGAGAACGCTTCTTTTTCTTAAAACCCTAAAGAACGCTTCTTCTTCTCTACAAGCACAAGGAGAGTTGGAGGTGTCACAATAATGGTTTCTTTCTTCCTCTTTTGTGTTCTCCCTTTGTCTAGCATGGAGTAGTTTCCCTTTTTACTTGGTTGTTGTAGAACCCTAACTTTTACCATGTAATTGATTGTGTGGATTGAATGATTGTGTGATGGTGGTGTTTAATTTAAGAATTGAGGTATTTTTCATGGTGATTGTGCATTGTGTGTGCTTGGCAATAATCTATTGTGCTATTCTAAACTAGCTTAGAGAGAAGCCCCCTTATTTTAAGAGGCTCAAATTGTGCTATTCTAACTAGGTTGATGAAGGGCAACCCTCTAAACTTGAATTAGACCTAGGTTAATTGTGATTATGCCGTCCAAACCTTGGTTTGAGGGAGAAGGTAAGTCAACCCTCAATAGCTAAGGCCAAGAGGGCTACAATTGTAGCCTTTAATGCTTTCCTTGGCCTAGCAATTGAGATGATGATTTCTAACCATTGTTGCACCTCCTACGGGTCGCAATTGCCTTGTCACACACCGTTTCATTTGATCCCACAATTCATGGTAGTTGGTTAGGAGGAAGCAACACCCGAGTGAAGCTTCTCAACAAGAGTTTTCCACCACTTTACTTTTCATGTCTTCCTTTTCAATAGTAGATTGTAGATATTTTCACAAAACAACAATCCGCTAAATAATGTTTCAAACAGTCCAAGTAGGGGTACATGGGCTGGCTCGGATCGATATTTAAAAATACTTGCCCTATATTGCACCCATTTAAGGTTATACTTGGAACTTAGGTGGGATTTTATTGTGATAGTCGGAGCGAAGAAAGTTTTTGGCGCCGTTGTCGGGGAGCTTCGGTCCGTTATCTTGAAAAGATTGTTTGATGTTAATCTAGATTTATTTTCATTTTTTATTGTGTGAAGTGTTTCTTGTGCTAGACGAGTTGATGTTCTTTTAAGTGTATGCATGGAGGTGTATGATCCGGAGCAATCCGACACCTTTAATGCCACTAGACGAGAACATCAACTAGACTCTTTGACTCTTGGCTCGTGAGAGGGAGTTAGCGGAAGCAAGAAGGAGAATTAAAGAGAGGGGGCATCAAGTTGGTCCCGGAGTTAGAAGAGTTGATGTAGAAGGTAAAGGTGAAGTTGAAATGGCGGCGAATCAACTACAAGCTTCTAATCCGCCCCTGAATCCAAATGTGGAGGCAGGAGCTGAGGAAGAGTCAAGGACTATGGGCTATTACATGGACCCACGGGGGCGGATATCCAATCTCCCATCTTACATCCACTCGTGGCTGCCAACAACTTTGAAATCAAGCCCGCCCTAGTCACGATGAGCCAAAACAACGCCTTGTTTCATGGCCTCACCAATGAATCACTGAGGGAGCATGTACATAGGTTCCTTGAGCTTGCGGGAGGTTTGAATATAAATGTTGTCTCTGCGGAGGCATTACAATTGAGGCTATTTCCCTACTCTCTTGCGGGGAAAGCACTTCGATGGCTCAACAATCGCCCGGCTAGCTCAATTACCTCATGGGATGATTTGCTCAACAAATTCATGACCTGATTTTGTCCTCCTTCCAAGACGGCCGAGTGGAGTAAGAAGATCACTCACTTTGAGCAAGAGGAGGATGATACATTGAGGGATGCATGGGAAAGGTTCTCGGACTACTTCCACCAATGCCCTCACCATGGGTTCGAAGAGCAATTTCTTTCGGATAGATACTTTCTATGACGGTCTCATTCAAGATGACAAGATCCTTATCGACTCTCTTTGCAAAGGGAGGTTGATGAACATGACCCCACCTCAAGTGACCGAGTTTCTCGAAGATATGGCTCTTAAAGGATATGATTGGGGCTTGACGAGGAGTGGTAAGAGAAGCACCGAAAGAGGAGTGCGAAGTGTGGGAGCAAGTGCTCCGCTTGAAGCTAAGCTTGACAAGTTGATCGAGGTGATCCTTGAGGACAAGAAGTAAGGAAAGAGAGTTGTAATGTCTTGTGATTGGTGCTCTAGCACTAGTTATGAGATTGCGGATTGCCAAGCGATGAAGGAGACAAGTACCCCCGAGCAGCAAGTGAGTTTCATTGCCAATGCTAGAGGGAACAACCCTTATAGCAACACTTACAACCCCGGGTGGCGCAATCATCCAAACTTTGCTTGGTCTTCCCCTACCAATCCAAGACCTCCCGGTTTCCAAGGTCCGATGGGAAACTATCAACCTCGGCCAACTTTCATCCAATAAAGGCCTCAATTCCAAAACTCAAACTTCCAACAACCATACCAAGCACAAGGTGGTCAAGGGTTCCAACAACAAAAACAAGTCGGCAAGTTTGCTAAACTTGAAGATCTAGTCACCACCTTCGTGAGTACGAGTTCATAGAAGTTCGAGAAGATTGAGCAATTCATGGATGTGGCAACCTCCAATTTTACCTCGGTGGAGGCGGAACTCCAAAGTCATCAAGCAAGCCTCCAGAATTTGGAAGTTCAAATTGGCAATCTTGTCGGGATCCTCCCCAAGAGACCAAAGGGAGCCCTACCCTCTCAAACCGTTGCATACCCCAAGGATCATGCCGGGTGAAATGCAATTCTCTTGAGGAGTGAGAAGGTGACTCCAGAGGTTGTTACCAAAGAAGTGATTGAGAAGGAAGACCCTCTACCCGAGGGTGGAGAAGAAGAAACCTCGGGAGAAAAGAGAGGAGTGACGAAGAAGGCATCGCCAATGCCACCTCCAGTGGCTGAGTACACGCCACCCCTTCCTTTTTCCCACGAGGGTGCACAAGGAAAGATTGGAAGTGGAATGTGGAGGTTTCATGGATATGCTTCGAAAGCACCACCTTAACATTCCCTTCCTCGAAGCAATGACTCACATGCCACGATATTCGAAATACCTCAAGGGGCTTCTCTCCAAGAAGCTG